GGCTACTTCCAAGTTAAAGTTGATGACCAGTCAGCTGACTTTTGCACATTTGGCATATCAATTTTGTAGGCTTGCATTTGGAATTAGTTCTGCTCCCGAGGTTTTCCAAAAAAAGAATTTTGAACTTTTTGGAGATCTGGAGAGGGTAGAAATATATTTTGACGATTTAACTATTAGTGGGACCACAGAGGCTGAGCATGATCGAAATTTGAAAAATGTCTTAGAGCGGGCTACAAAATTTAACATAAAATTCAACTGTGACAAAATTCAATTTAAATCCTTAAGTGTGAAATTTTTTGGTTAAATTTTTTCAAGGGACGGTATCAAACCTTGTCAGTCCTATGTCAAAGCTATTTTTGACATGCCAAAACCACAGGATAAGCAAGATCTTTTGAAATTGCTGGGAATGTCAACATTTCTTGGTAAATTTGTAACTAACATGTCAAAAGTGACTGCTCCACTACGGCATTCAACTCGGGAAGAGGTTGAATTTATCTGGTCAAGTGAACATGAAGAGTCTCTGACACAACTCAAGCATTTATTGACAGAAGCTCCAGTTCTTGCTTTTTTCGACCCGTACAACTAATTTGTTGCCAAAAAAATAACAAATTGTCTGAAACTGACAACTCATTTTTAAGCTTATTGGTATTTGAAGACGACACAATAATGCCTAGAGAACTACCACCAGCTTCTGCCGATAACATGTACTTTTTTGAACTGCAACAAATGAACATCGTTCAGAATCATCTGGGCAGAATTCTCAACCTAATTTTCGTCGACGACTTTATTGATCTCTCCATTACTTCCAGTGCTGACCCCCTGGTGGCAATGGATGCTTACCACCCTGCCATAGAAACTCCTCCCTGACGTTGAGTGTCAGAACTGAGGTCATTTGAATTTCATTGTGCCAATTACTCAGAACTTAACAACTTTTATGAGCAGGCATATAAAAAATATTTTGTTCTCAATAACCGACGATGATTCAATGATCACTCTCTTCTATGAAACCCTTTTTCAGGGTATTAACCTTGCAGTCCCAAAGAAAACAATAAACAGCGACAAATATCCTAAATGGTATAACAAAGGACTTCGTAGATGCATCGCGCAAAAAAATAGATCATTTAAGAAATACAAGAAATCAGGAATGAGAGGATACTATGAAGCCTACACTAAAATTCGTCGAAAGACTAAAGTCCGTATTGACAATGTGCTACTTGTTATATGTTACCAACACTGAGCACCTGATCCCTCAAAAGGTCAAATATTTTTGGTCATTTATCAATAATTTAAAAAGGAACTCGAACTTACCGACACAGATAAAGTACAAAAATTTTATATTGGACGGTTCTGATTACATCGATGATGCAGTCCCCATGCACTTTCAAGCATCTTATTCCAGCCACGATGACTTAGACATGACATCCATTGAACCTGTCCAGTTTGCTACTACCCTATCATCTCATAACTTCCAGACACAGGAAATTTCAGACAAGTTAAATCTGCTGGTTATATCCAAAAAAGCAGGTCTTGAAGCTTTACCATTTTACATTATTTTTCAACGATTTTTGGATTGTGGCTTTTTTCCTGAAATGTGGAAGGTTTCCCACCTTCTTCCTATGTTCAAGTCTGGAGATAGATGCGATGTTGAGAACTATCGTGGAATGTCGATACTTTCTGCCATTCCAAAAATATTCGCATCAATCTTAACCGAGGAAATATTCGTAACATATAGACTTTACCTCATACCAGAATAACACGGATTCTTTAGCAAGCGTTCAAATGCATCTACCAGAACTTCTTAATTACCTCCGTTGAGGCTGAACACAAGGTCGACTCCATTTACACAGATCTAGCGAAGGCTTTTGATAGCGTTTGCGACCTCCTTCTTTTAAAAAAACTATCAGAATTTGGTATCTCTGGAAACTATTAGGCATGGTGTAAGGCGCTTTTGTTGCGTAATCGACGCGGGTTCAGTGTAAGTTGGTTTATTTAACGGTTTGCCTCGGGCGCCACCCTCAAGATTAAAGTGGTTGAGGGCCCACGTGCACCAGGTAGCTTGTTACAGTGGAGAAACGGTACTTCAGAGGTCCACAGACGCTTGTTCTGTGAAATTTTCTGAAAACCTTGGTTTGGGAAAAAGAAATAGACAACAGTCGATAAATTTAAATAAATATAGCACTCTGTATTACCGGAAAATATTTACAGGAAAACCCTTAATTAACCCTCTGAAAAAATGAACGGGGATGCGTGAGAAAGAGAGATAATTAGATGAGTGAAAAATTATGTGCGTGCGGTAAAATCGTGACCATGCGGGCGGTGAAAAGCGTGTCCGGAAAAGTTAACGGTAGCGATAACGGAACGGTCAGTCTTCCGGTAGCTCTAAAAGTTCCGGTAACGTTAACGTTAACGGCAAATGTTAAATAGCAATAAAGCGGTAAAACAAACTCCGGTGACCCAAGCAAATGTACAGACACTACCTGAAACTACTTAAGCGTCAATTCTCGAATCGTGCATTTAACGGATTAGAGATACCATATAAGAGAGAAATCGGAGAGAAATACCTGTACTAGGTTCCAGGCGAAAATCTCTCATACAGAACTACCCGTCCAGGGTACCGGGCGAAACCCCTATTGCAGGAAAAGATTTACTCGTCCAAGGTACCGGGCGAAAATCTTAATGAAGTTTATATAATTGATTTTTACCTTCTGGGGCCGGATTCTCGGCTAAGGGAGTAGAGCTCTCCGATAGAACAAATATTTTGTCCTTGCCAAGCTTCGAAAAGTGAAGAAGTGATAAAGACGAAACATTTGTTCTCTCGGGGAGCTCTACTCCCTGGTGTAATTCGCGACCCTGTAAGCACTGACCCCTACTGTGGTTACGGCGGGTTGGCTTCAATGCGGTTCTGGTAGTGATGCTGCTATCGCTGCTGTCAGGTCAGCTGGCTTTACCAGCAAATTCTGCCCAATTTATACCCGAAAAGATGGGTCAGGGCTGCGACGGGGTACACGGAAATATGCAAATTAGTTGATACCGGCTGGATCGGTAGATTCAAGGCGAGGTCACGCGAAATCATGATAATGTATTTAATATTTAAGAATAATATAGAGGATTTTAATTAATAAATATAGAAAATTAAGTCACGCAATTAATAATTAAATTAAGTCGAAGCGGGACGCGCACTTATTTTATGAAAAAACTCCGAAACTTCGTTACAATGGATCAAATCATGTTTTGAAGATCGAACCCAGCCAGTGGGGGCCCCTGCATGTATGGCGCCCCTACCGCTCCTAAAACACAAAAGCATGTCCACAAATTATTGATTTTAAGGCTTAAAATAAATGTTTCTCGATGCGAACCCGGAAAAAAAATTGATTTTGAAGGCCCCAAACTTTTTTGGGCGTGGCACCCGAGTAAATTTTTCGCCTCCGGCGGGCCTTTCATCACTAATATTTTCTCCAATAAGCAAATATTACAAAAGCAAACAAACAATATACAGGGTGTCCATTTTTCGAGGGCAACCATAGGGTTATAGGAAACGGTAAGAGATACAGGTTTGGTTGAATTGAGGCAAAAAAATTTCTTGCTTAACAAAACTCAACTTCGAATTTGGAATTTTCCGAATACTTTCAGATATAGTGAAAATAGTGCATTGGAAAGAGATAGGTAGATGGTCGTGCATTTGGACGCGTTATTTTTCATAAAAAAATATTTATTAATGGCCAAATGTGTTAGGTACTGCTTTTGGGAGATCAAAAAGCTCCGAAAACAATTTGAAAAAATGCAAACCGGTATTTAAAAAAATAAACTTAATGATGATCGGCCAAAGACGGAACGTCGAATTTCAAATTTGGCTACACCATTGTGCAGAAAGGAGAAAGCCGTATATCTCCTATCTCCGGAAATATTCGGAATATTCCAAATTAAATTTCGAAGTGGCGTTTTGTTAAGCAAGAGATTACGCAACTTTGCCTTAATTTAACCAAACCTGTATCTCTTACCGTTTCCTATATTCCAATGGTTGCCCTTGAAAAACGGACACCCTGTAGAGTTTCGCAAAATTATATTATTCATTTGCGACGCCTTTGCATAAACCAAACACCTTATTTATCTAATTGAAATGCCTTAAATATAAATTTAATTATACTCTATTATTATTAATAATTATGCGCCCCCAATAATTTTGCCCCCTCCGCCCCTTGAGGCTGGCTACGCCACTGAACCCAGCGGGTAGAAGTGTGTGGCTACTCCTGAAAAAACGCCCAAAACAGATTTCTAGAATACCTACTTTATATTCACACATCAGGAATACCTTATGAAACTAGACTGTGGCTGTGTGGGATGAAGAGCCTTGAGCAGAGACGGAAACACGCCTCGCTTATCATTCTCTATAAAAACCTGAACAATTGGATAGATTGCAGCACCTTTTTGGAATCAATATTATTTTACGTATACAAAGTACCATTGATAAAGAACAACATTGGAGAGGAAGACCGTTCAAAAAGGTAGCATACCTCGAAAGAAGAAATGACATCTTCAGTATAGGTCGGAACTCCAAGAGTTTGGAAACCAATCCTCAACAATATCACGTTCCTGTAAGGGGGAACTTCCTAATATAAAAGTCTAAAATTTTTGATTCAGGTAAATTAGGTAGACCCATCATGCTGATTTTTATAGTGTTGATTTAGTTGGAGCTTTTTTTTTTAAATATTAATTTAGTTCTCCTGATATAGGTAATCCAAGAAACCTTTAGTATTAGAAGTAGCCGCAGTCCAACAATCAAAATATTAAAGAGGGAGGGGTCAGGATGTACAACAAATGAGTCAATAAAGGATGAGTAGTCAGGGTTGTAATTGGTCGAATTTATTAAAAAATTACACCATTACAAACCTGACTCATTCTTCAATCAAAATATTGTCTATTAAAAATATCTTTATTAAAAATATAAAATCATTCTCTTTTGTATATAAAATTATTTCTTTACATAGTGAAATATACAAAATAAAACTTTAACATTATTTAAGACTAGATACAGTTAAAAGCGTTGATTTTTTTCATTGACTAGAATCGTAGGTATAGGTACAATTTGAAAATATACTTAAAAATAAAACAAAAAAAAAACATAGGAAATAAAACATATTCTTCAAGTTTCAAAATAAGGACACAAACGTTAGTTTTCTCAATAATTGAGACAAAATTTGTATATAAATAAAAATATTGCTAAAAAATTATATAGAATCCAACAATAAACTCACAATCCTACGTTTGCATCTTCATATAACCATTATAATCGTACATTCCATTATTATTAAATCCATGAATCTGATTTGAATATTGCTGAAAATAGGAATCATTGGAATAAGGCACCATTTCATTCTGATACTGATAAGGCAGTTGTTCATTTGGACTAGTAGAAAAAGGCCTCTGCAGGTAATGTTCATTTTTGAATCCCATATTATAGTCTTGCATAAAACTAGCATTCGTTATACTTCCACTTATTACTGAAGCATTTGACTTTCCCTCTTCGTACGGTTTCGAAGAAATGCTGTCGTCTTCTTTGGTTATTGCCACTTGCATGTTGCCCACATTGATTATAACATTCTCTTCTGTTGAATATTTGTCTACATCTTTAGCTGCTTCCGCGAGTGCGTGGATGTAGTTATGCGCAAACCGCAACGTTTCGATTTTGGTCAGTTTGGTGTCTTCGGGAAATGTCGGTAGGACGCAACGAAGCCTGTCCAATGCTTCGTTAAGCATGTGCATTCTGTTTCTTTCTCTGTCATTAGCTTTAAGTCTTCTCACTTTTTTGATTCGCATTATTTGCGTGGGGCTTTTAGCTCTGGATACCCGGTTTCTTCCTGTAGCATAACGTTTCTTCTGTTTTTCTGTTGTTGATGGTTCTTCTACGATTTTATCGTTGAAATCGTTTAGTAAATTTCTTCTACAATTTGGTGGCCATTGTGTTGGCCTACGGTCAATTTCCTTGAGGCTACCGTAGAAAGCTGAATTGAATTTGTTGTAGAGAGCAGGATTGAAGTTGGTTGCGATTGATGGTGTTTTGGTGGGGGTTGTGTATTCTTGATGGTCGAAGTCGAAGAGGTCGCTACGATCGTCTGTGTACTCTGTCGTTTCGGATTTGTAGGAGATTTCGAAGCCTGAATCGCAGCTGTCTTCGTCGTATTTTAGACCGTAGCCTGTCATTCTGGAAAAGAAAGGGGTGGGTGAATATTGTAGAACTTACACGCAGATTTGTGACAATTTGCGATTATACATTTTATTCACAGTAACAAGAGCAAATGTGGAATTCAAACTTCATCAAACAACGAAGTTGTGAATCAAATTTAATGAACATTCTCATTTGGCGGAGGGGCTGGTTCCTCCCAAATTACCTTAAATGCTATATGAATGCGGAACCCTATCCAAAATCTTGAGAAAGAAAATAAAAACCCAATTTGAAGCCAATTTTTTCACATTTGCAACCCCTAAAGCCGGACCGATTTTGAAACCAATAAGACACGATGTTGAGAGGGACGGTAGTAATCATCTGTCGAAAGATGAATATGGAACCCTATCCAAAATCTTGAGGAAGAAAATAAAAACCCAATCTGAAGTTAATTTTTTCACATTTTCAACCCCTAAACCCGTACCGATTTTGATACCAATAAGACAATGTTGAGAGAGACGGTAGTAATCATCTGTCAAAAGATGAATGTAGAACTCCAACCAAAATCCTAGAATCTTGAGAAAGAAAATAAAAACCCAATTTGAAGTGCTCTACTTGAAAAAATCAGTTGGGACCCCTTAAACTCCATACATTAAATATAAATAAATAAAAAAACGAGACAACATATTTTTGCAGAATAACGGAGCATAAGAAGCATAACGGAGTAAAATTCTAAAAAACTTCACGTAAACTGTGGTATTTAGGTAGATGAATTTTAATAATTTTATCACCGTTGTGTGCCATAAGTCCACGATTTTTCATACTTTTACTTCAAGAAAATTACAAATGGATTCAGACAGAGGAGAAGATTACAGCGTAAATTTTCTAGAAGCTGATGATACTAGAATAATATGTACCTACTTTGCATTCAATGAAATTAGAGACCTGCTGTAGTTTCTGGATTCCTTTCGAGAAATCTTAGAGCAATGATTATGGGTTAGTTTTGCTATAAGTTTGTTTATAAATAGGTATAGGTACAAACGTTAATATACCTATATTTAGTAGGTAATTAAGGTATTAGTAATACTATGTATATGCGATTAGAAATTAGAAGATCCGGACATGAATATTGCTGTAAAGAATCATTTCAACTTTGAATTACAGTGGTTTAAATTACCACACATGGAAATTTGGAATAGTTATAGGTACCTACCTATTTTGTTTGATATAATAGGGACAAGCTGAAGTCTGAAGCGAAGAAAAAGATAATAAATATGAGTAAACTATAACTACAATTTATGGATAATACGCAGAAGCCATGGGGGAAAGTTGATGTCATGATGCTAGAACCTCCAATAGGAGAATTTTCAGCTGAATTTGTAGAGACCATTTTAAACAATTAAATGCTAAAGGGGCAGATTTGGAAGAACAGGGCATAGTTCATAGTCTAAACCTTGCCATGCGGAGAGCATTTGAAACAGTTATAACAATTACCTACTAGAAAATGTCTACTTGCCGACAATTGTTAGTTGATCCAAAGCTAAGTTAAGGTACAGTCGAGAAAATTAAAGAGAATAGAGCTGAGCACTGAAACAGAATTTGAAGAAAAATAACTGATTATAGAAGATACTGTAAAGACATACAAGAAAAAGAGAGGAAACAAATACAATATGAACGAAAAGAAATAGAACAAGGAAAGAGAAATAAACGATACCAACCAGATATACAGTGAAGTTCTAATGAACTTAACTTTCGATGCAAAATCATATGTTGTAGATCTACCCAAACCATTAGAAGACTGATGAAAAGATAACAAATTTATGTATAAAAGCAATGTCAAGAAAAATTGATTCGATTGAAAGCAATGAAACTTGGATAGAGGCTGAGCCACCTAAAAATAATGAAATATTGAATACAAAATATCTTTGATACGAAACAAGTATCTAGAAACTTTTAGAATTGATTGAATGTTTAATGTATTTCATGCTAGAATCAAGACCAGACATTAAATATACAGTAAACCATGCCAGAGATTCCAGGAAAGAAAAATGAAGTGCCTTCGATTTGAATGATAGAAAGTGAAGTCAGTATACCTATCATCAGAGTTTTCATTTTAGATTTTTGACAATTTAGTGTCTTAGATAACAACAATGTAAAATTGTATTGGTGTAATTAATACCAAAACTCTAAAGCTGAGCTAATTGGTTTATGTTGATTGTGGTTTCAAAAATTACTGTCAGCCATAAATTTTGATATAACAACTTTTAAAATATTTGAAGATATAATAAGGGTTCAAAACAAAATTCACTAGAGGATCCGAGCAGTCAATTCTTAATATATTTTTTTTAAAGTTCCTATTTAAATTACTTACGTTGAACTTCAAACTCTTATCCAGATAAATCACCACCGGACACACATTTGATTTGACACAAACGCCACACGTCAGTCACGCAGAGGTTTTTTTGCCAACTATCCGGCTCGACGGACCAAAAACCATGGGGTGGATAATCGCCGGGCCCCCTCCAATGTTTAGGCGCCCCCATTTAGAGGACCATTCATTGGTTGACGGGTATTTTTAGAGGTGGGAGGGACCAATCGTTTTGTATTCATTCGTAATTTGGATTGTTAGCAAAAATTTCTCTCGTTTTACCATATTGTTCATGCAAAACGGTTGAAATTTATAAAATGTTTTCAAGCATTTGGCTTGAAATTTTTAGGTATTTTTAGTGTCTGTAGAGTTTCCAGTATCTTTTAGAGACCAAATTATAGTGATACGCATACTATTTCTGGGGAAAATTATAATTTTTTCTGTACCTATTCCTAGTAAATTAAATTATGTGGTCGGCAGTCAGTGGTTCAACCTCTATCTGCTTTGGATCGAGGGACTGTGAAATTTACTCGGGAAAGTTACACAATGCAAAAGCACAAACACTACACCGGAGACTCACTGAGGGCCGAACTTATAGTCGGTCTTTGAGGTTTCCTCAGACCTTAAGAAAGCCTTGAACGTTTAAAATTGACTTGACTAACTTGTCAAATAGTAGCAAAGTATCCATTCTAAACACGCGACTCCAAGGAAGATTCAAGGAACGACTATAAACAGTACGAAAGTTACAAGACAACTTCAACAAATGTCACGTCATGAATTAATTGTCCATATGATAGTTAACAGTTAAAAACTACAAACAGGTGGCCAGCTTGGAGGGTTATGTTACAATTTTGAAAAAAGTTAGTGCAATAAGAAATGTGATAATGGAAGATTTCGAGTAGGTAACATTAGAGACAAAATAGGCATTATTTTGGTGTGAAAAAAAAAGGAAGACTTATTAAACATTTTTATTTTTTCCTTTCCTGGCTTCTTACCAAATTTTAGCTATACAAGGTGGTACATCGATAGAAAGTTTTCAATGAGTGATAGTTAGGGTCATTTGGGGGATGTTTGACCATATTTACCCTTATGCAAAGTTTCGTCGTTTTTGAGATATCAGCATTTTTAGTGTAGGTACCTACCTATAATCAAAGAAAAATTCGAAGATTTTATAGATTTTTTATTCATACAAACTTTTAGCAAGTTGGATATGGAAATTGCCATTTCCATTTCGTAGAAGTATCTTAAAAAATCTCACAATACATCAGCTTTTTCATAAGAATTTAGTCTGAGTCCTATGTTTTCCACAAAACCATGGGAAACTTTATAACCGTTTATTCATGTCCAAAATTCACCAATAGAGGATTATGGAATGTGTAATGATTGATATAAGTAAATGAATAATAATTGGTTGCATGATGAATAAATAATTCCTGGGGATAACTGAATATGCTCAAATTTTCAATAAAATTACCGCTAAGTCCTGCTAATAAAACAAATTGAAACAGTTTCTGAAAACTTATTAGTAACCCTTCCTGAACCTGTAAGCGTCTAAATTTTTTAGTCTAAGGCCGGGTTTATTCGTCTTCAGATAAACTTGCTGGTAGATATGTGCAAGATAACTGTGCGTCCAATTGGATTACAGATTGCGTTTTTATCCGTCAGATTGCATACCTGACAGTTTATCAGAAGGTGAATAATAAACCAGCCTTAATACATCAGGGGCGGATACCGGCCTTTTGGAAGGACAGTTTAAGTTAAAGTAAGCCAAATTGGGTTAGTCTAGGTTAGTTTTGGCAGCGCATTGTGCAAGGTACGGTTTTTCGAAGGAATGGCCCATAAAAATATGGGAATGGGGGAACTATGTAGGAAAATAAGGTGATTTTAAATAGGTAGGAACGGGTGCCGTTTTTTTATATATTGACACCCCACCTATAGCCTTTACCTTTACAGGTAAAAGAAAGGTGTAAATATAAAAGTTGTACAGCTTTGGCTGAATTTTTAAAAACCATGGTCAGAAACAAAATTTGAATGTCAGAAATGTGAAATTTTGTATGCTTCCAGTTTTTTTCAAATGGGTTGCCCTATATTTCATTCTATATTCTTGAAAAGCACAATGCCCCGATTCCAAAAATATATAATTTGTCTATATTTGATTGAACAGTCTCTCATCTTTAAAAAAAAAGCAGACTTTACTTGGTTTCTCTGATAGAATTTTTAAATTTTTTAAAACTAAGTATGTTGTGACGGCTCCGCCAATTATAGACAAAATATATGCATAGTTTTGGAATCGGGAAATTGTGCTCTTCAAGAATATAGAACCAAATATAGGGAATCCCATTTGAAAAAAGCTGAAAGCATGCAACATTTCACATTTCTGACATTCAATTTTTGTTTCTGACCATGGATTCTAAAAATTTAGCCAATACTGTAAAACTTTTGTATTTACACCTTTCATCTACTTATAAAGGTGAAGGCTGTAGGTGGGGTGTTAATATATAAAAAAAACACCCTGTACTTGAACAATAACTTATTACATAAAGTCAGAATTTGTAAGATTATCCACTTTTTGTCAATTTGCCTTTCAACAGGAATTAGTTGTTACTTTACCAAACTAGTAACATAGTGTGACAAGTTATTCAAGTACAAATGAGTGAATTGTTGCGGAACTTACCTCTGCGGGACGAGCGGAGCGAAAACACCCTGTTCTTGAACAATAACTTATTACATAAAGTCAGAATTTGTTAGATTATCCACTTTCTGTCAATTTGCCTTTCAACAGGAATTAGTAATGTTACTTTACCAAACTAGTAATATATTGTGATAAGTTGTTCAAGTACAAACGAGTGGATTATTGCGGAACTTATGGGTGGACCTCTGCGGGACGAGCGCAGCGAGTTCCGCAGCCATCTTTTCATCAATATGTTGTTTAATTACGATACTAAACTGACTCACTCAAATGTGCGTTATTCTCATTAGTTTAAAAATTACACATTTCAGGTGAATGTCTTACTTGAACAGTTCAATAGTATATTGGTGATTAGATGGCTGCGGAACTCGCTGCGCTCGTCCCGCAGAGGTTCACCCATAAGTTCCGCAATAATCCACTTATTTGTACAGACTGAATATCTGATGCCACTTTTTTTTTTTAAATCGCTCATATACGTAATTTGATTGTGTGAGTGTTTGAAACATTTTCAGCACTAACCTAACCCTCTAGGGGGGCTAGGACCAACCCTTACCATTCCAAATGAAACAGGGGGTCGAGTGATACCTGTTTCAAAAGACCGTTCAATTTTCTTCCAAATGACATCAAATGAAAGAGAATTTAATGCTCTTTTAAAAGAGGTATCACTCGACCCCTTGTTCTGTTTAAAATAGTAAGGGTTGGTCCCACCCCGCCTGGAGGGTTATAGTTGAAGTACTAAAAATGGTTGCAGAAAACTTCCCCCTTTGAAAATCAAATTACGTGTACGAGCGATTTTTTAAAAAATAAACGTGGCATCAGATATTTAGCTTGTTTTGTTTTAAATGGAATACCCTGTATATTGACACCCCACCCACAGCCTTTACCTTCACAGGTAGAAGAAAGGTGTAAATACAAAAGTTGTACAGTTTTGGCTGAATTTTTAGAAACCATGGTCAGAAACAAAATTTTGAATGTCATAAATGTGAAATTTTGCATGCTTCCAGCTTTTTTCAAATGGGATGCCCTATATTTCATTCTATATTCTTGAAGAGCACAATGCCCCCACCCCCCATTGTAGCCGCCACTGTAATACATACATTTTATGTCTGAAATAAATAAAATAATAATCGAAAATATTTAAAATTTATATAGACACAATATTAATATTCAATTCCCGTGAGAAGTAATCCTCTAAAAATACCAGAAGTTCAAGTGCCTCTATTAGCCTCATATAATTGAGTTATTATAGCGACACTTTTTTAATTTTACAACCACAAGTGTGAAGATCTGTAACCATCCACACGTGCCATACACGTGCCTTTTAGGTTTAAGCTATGGATACGTGTTGGCACGTGCCTGACATGCTTTGCAGGAAGTGCGTTTAGTGTTTATTAAAGGAAAATTAGTATAGAGGCGTTTTTTTTATTTCAATTCTACTGATTATATCAGATGAGGTCCTAAGTACGCAATCAATTAATAAAATTGGGCAAATCCCTCGAGGGATTACCACTACAGCATGCCCGGTAAACACAATAAACTAGACCCAAATCCGTCATAATCTCTTCTTTTTTTGGGGGGTGGTGACTAAGCTGGGACATTATACAGACTTTGATTATGCAATTCATTCATACGCTGTGCCAAAATACAAATTCGGATTTTATCTAAATAGCTTTTTGTCCGTTTGGTTTCCCATAAAATTTGCGATTTCACGCCCGGACCCATTCGAATTCAAGGGTAGAAATGGTCGAAATTTGGAATATCTATTTTCATAATTATGCATATCGAATTTTAGAGTACTATATTGTTATTTGCCGCATTACACGCTTGTTTTGGATGTGTATTTAATGTTTATTGTGTTGATTTCTTTCCTTTATTTGTTTCAAATAATCTGAAATTTTTATTTTTATATGTTGGCGAATCCAGATAACTCTAGATATAATAATACAATGTTTTTACATAATCCTTGCATCAACTTGTATTTTGTGTTGCTTTTCCCACCTTTTCCAATGAAGTTTTCTGTAGTGCACTTACGGGAAAATTCCAAGCAATATGTTGGTATTCCTGATTTACCTAATTTTTTCGCCGAAACATTCATACTTTATGGTAATTATCTCAACATATACCATCAAAATTTTAATCCCTAACACTAACACAAGCTTGGAGGGGCTTACACTGGCACTTGAATGATTTTTATGTGATTGTGATGTGATGACGTTGAGCATTAATTTCTATAGATGAGATTGACTGTACAAATGGAATATGTTCTCTAAAAGTTTTTAATTAATCGGTAATGACGGTATCCTAGGTATTCGATTCTTTTTATTTTTGTGAATTCTTAATTTTGTTTATGAATGGTGATTCCTTTGTGAAACTTTTGCTATCT